AGCAGTAGAGAGGCTAGCGGAATCCTAAGTGTGAGTGTGGTAAGGCTAGCAGTAGCGAAGCTAGCGGAGTGTATAGTAAGAGGCTAGCGGAGAGAGAGCGAGCGGAGCGTAGCAGTCGAGCAGTACACGAGGAAGAGTTGCGACGGAGTCACGTGCTGTTGAACGTGAGGAGTTCCGTACGAATTAAGTGACACAGGAGAAAAATAAAAAGTTGCCCGTGCGAGATAACGCCACTGACACTACCACCGGCAATACTACAACCGCCGCTGGGCATGTCGCTTTGAGTCTGCCACCACCGCTGCCGCTTCTCGTATCGCTGCTGCCAATGCTGCCAATGCTGCCAATGCTGCTGCTGTGGTGGTGGTGCAGCAGGGTCCGTGATTCCCGGCTGCAGGGCAGCAGGGAACCTCCACGCGGCGCGGTGTTCAAGGTGCACTCCAGCCCTGCACTATTTGTACTTTTCTCACGAGCCGAAGCAAAAGAGCGGCAAGAAAGCTGCGTCAACAGATTACACGTGGGATACCCCAGCCCCCCACCTCCTAGCCCCCCCCCAGCCCCCCACCGGGGGGATGAGCGCCAGTGCCGTGCAGATTGTGCAGTGGACACAGCGTGTGCGGTGCAGGGGGGACTGGGGCAAGGGGCACAGAGAATCTCCCCCCCCCCTCTCCCACGTAGCGGGGCCCCGAATGCAAACGCGAGTGGGTGAAGTGTGTAACGTCTCAGACATGGAGGGATAAGTTCAGCCCTTGCAAGGGCTTGCTCACGTCTTCCAGTCCACGAGTCCTTTAGATCCGCAACCTCCGTTCGCGCGGTTGGCTACGTACGGTGCAAAGTTAAACATCAATACATCCCCTCTGGTGTTTTTTGTTTGTTTGGCCTACTCTTCCACGCTCATCAGACGTCTTAGAAGAAGTGGAAGTACTCATACTTTACCCCACCGCCCCCAACCTGCTGATTGGCATCTGCTGTCCACAGCTGGGTCGGGCAGAGTCGGGTAACGGGGTCGAGGTGGAGGGATTAAGAACCTTGCCCCCATTGTTTCAACTGCCACGCCAGGAGATCGCCTCGAACTGGCGCTCTCTATATTGCAAGTCCCGGTGCACGATCTGTTTGCACCGCGCGAGCAACTAAGAGGGCAAATCATTGACGACATCAGGCGCGTAGCATCGTGCCGCTCCGCACTTTAGCCCAGGAGCCTACTGCAAACAGACCCCGCTACCTATTCACCCGGCCTACCCTCTTCGAATTCCAAACGGGGATCACCAACATTCGTCACGCGATGCGGCGACGAATGAGCCGTGGCTCCTCGCTGTCTTTACAAGCGAGCGGAGAAGAGAAAGCCCCCTGCTGTGGTGACTGCGTGTCTGTCGCGCCAAATGCAGCAGCAGCAGGGGGAATGATCCAATGTTAACAACACGTCACGTGGAGATATGCAACGCCCTTGATTTAGTCCAGAGCGGAGAAAAAGACACGCGCGCTCCGCTGAGCAGCTTCCAACCGCGGGTCCCGTTGGATTTATTACGGCATGTCGCTGGCTGGCTGACACGTAAGGTCATCTGTTGGTCATTCTTAAACAAAGCACCGTGAGCGTGCCAAGGTAATCCAGGGCATGCTCTGCCAATATTGCGATTGCAGGCACACGCATTGCACCCCACGTCCTGTCGCTCTGCAGCAATTCTCGCCAATTTTCTAAGCCTGCAGTCAATTAGTGCATTTATCGAGACTGTCGACAATCCGAGTCCATTGACCGAATGTTGTTTTAAGATGTGAGCAGACGATGGGCACAATGGCATCATCCATCTTTCATTGTAGCCACTCCACGATCCTGCGACGTAATATTCCACCAAGCGCCTGTACAAGAGTTGTTTTACCTCTGTATATAACGGTGATGGGTGCTCGACAGATGGGTACGTTTCATTCGGAGCACCGGGGCCCATGCCAACCGCGCTGTGCCACCGTTCCCTCCCAGGGTTCACGATGGAGGGTTGATGTGATTTCTCCCCCATGCTAAAGCTCCACCACGATGCAGAATAGGGACTCTCCCACTCCCCCCCTTTGAGTTACAGATTCACAAAGAACCCACTTAACAGATTAAGATCATCTCTCCCTGGTGTCACAGCTGGAACACAGGGGCAGACACTTGAAAAGTGCTGGATGGTGGGAAAATTCGGTTGGCAATCCAATGGGGTCGTCTTGCGACAGAGGGTAACTGTTGCAATGTTTGACATCTGTCTTAAATGCATGACGTTCAAGGCGTTAACTTTAAACGTATTTTAACAGCTACAGGGATCTTGTCATTGGAACGAAGCCAACAGTTGCTTTCCCTGCACGTGGTTTTGCTAGAGTGAAGCGAGATGTATCACTTAGATATATACGTCATGCGTACCCCCCCACCCCCCCTTCCCATGATATAGACACCTCATCCAAAGTTAAGTTACTCGAGGTGCACTGGCTGAAGGTGTTGTGGTGACAGCACATTGTTAATGGCTTTTCCATTGGCTTATATAAAATATCAAGCTATATAAAATAGTTTTATGAAAAAAATAGAAATAAGTATATATTTAAAGACATCCCTGTGAAAGTTGTCTCCCGGGCTATGTCTCGAGGCAAGTTTAATCTGTTCTGCAGACAGTTCCCCGTTATGGATCTAACTCTACATTTTGGTATTTTCATATTATATACTTTAAAATATATATACAGGCGATCTCCGCTTTTACGACATAATGCGTTCCTGGAAACCCCGTGGTAAATCGAATCATGTTTTCCCATTTTCAGTAGAATGATAAACGTCGCTTGCCTATGTGTTTTTCCTTTTTATCAGGCACATTTAAGAGGGTCCATGAGGTACAATTTCACAAACTCACTCAGATTAACAAAAAGCTCCACGCCAAATAACATCGTAAAGCAGACCGACTCTGTTCAAATGTGTTCAGAGTCATATCTCTGACAGTATATCATGCATTGTCTTTAAAACGGATCGGTCCACACCAGAGACAGCTTTCTTTAGAGCCTAGTCTCTGGTGTGGACCAATCAGTTTCAAAGACAATGCATCACACACTGTCAGAGAATGCGTTTTGTTTGCATGTTCCCCACAAGTTTATGTGGTTAATGCAGACATGATTCATTGCAAAAGGTTTCTGTTTGGTGTTTTAACAGCTTAACACAACTGTCTTATTGCCAGAAAGGGTAAAACTTATTCTTAGATGTTGACACTGGCAAGAGAGGTCCCATGAAGTTGTCAATCGAGTTTCTGGGACTTTCTGCATCGTCAATCAATCCGTGCACTAGGCCCGAATCGTGCCTTTTGCTCGCTTTGCTCTGCCACTATTCTACATCCGACTCTACCAGCTATGATTTCTGCACCCTACATCCGCTGCACAGTTTAGAATTACACCCTCTGAGATGGATACCCCTCAAAAGTGTATTCCTGGGGATGCACACCTCATTGTGCGTAGACCCACCAAAGTGCTTCAGAAATGCGGATGAGTTCCACAGCACTCCACGACTACAACAGAAGACTGCCGGCAACACAACAGCGGTCACGAAGGGAGCAGCAGACGCGAGGGAAGTGCGCAAGAAATCACGGTGATCTACAGAGGTCTCATGAAGCTATTGAAAGAAGCCTGGAAACTCTGCAAACTATCAGCAGCCCAGAATTTATAAGGCCCAAATCACACTCTACCTGTGTTTAGCTTAGTGTTAAACTTGAGATTTTTCGTCTGTTGGCTACGTGTGCTTATTGCACCACTGCCAATGCAGTTGTCATCCCATAATTTGGATCAAAGTCTACGGGCTCCCCGAGGGAGAAAGAGGCACGCATCCTCTCAAGCGACTACGTTCACCATAAAGCGGCGATTATTCGATCCGCTAATGCGACAAACCTTGTCCATCGAGCACGTTTGTGCAACTGGGTGCCGTTTTGCAACTGCGAGAAGCCCGATGCCAACGCCCTCCCCACGCGCCTGTCGCCCTCTCGTCATTGTATCGTCGAGCCTTTGCGAGCCACCGATATCCTTGCAATGGCTCAGAAGACCTAGGAAGCCGGCCACTTGCACCTCCGGTTTGGCACCGTTGGCTACCGCACGGCGGCGAAAGAAGTTTGCCCGGACAGAGTCATTGTCTTCCAATGCCCTCCACCGTTCAAGTGCGGTCCGTGAAGAGGAAAGCCGTGCTTCCCCACGGCGTGACGTCTGGCCCAAGACATAGCGCCCCCCGATTTGGCACGGATTGGCTACGTACGGCGCGAAAGAAGTTCAACACGCCTATGCACACACACTTGCTTGCAGCAACTGCCCAGAACACACGCACACACACGCTTGCTTGTGTCTATGTTGAACTTCTTTTCCGCGCCATACGTAGCCAAACCGCGCCAAATCGGAGGCGCTATGTCTTGTGGCCCAGACGTCAACGCCTTCGGGACTCGGCCAGACGGGAAGCATGGCTCTCCTCTTCACAGACCGCACTTGAACGGCGACTGTGTCCGGACAAACTTCCGCGATTCCATTCATGGGAAGCACCGCGACTTTTTTTGTTTTGGTATCCTGCTGCAGTGCGAGCCGCACCAGGAATTCGAGATCTGCTGTGGCGCTCTTTATAGCCAACGCCGTCTCCATCCCTCGATCGCTCTGTCCCAGGAATGCCATTGTGGATGTCCTCTGAGGTTCTAGGCAGTGCCTTCATTGTCTGTTGCACGAGCGCGCTCCACAATCTGTTCTGAGGCCACGTCAGGATGCCGCTAGAGGCTCTGAGATCAGAACTCCTTTGCATGCTCTCCCCCTGTTCTGCCTGGGCTACTACCAGCTTCCCTTATTCCCTACCATAGATGAAAACAAGCAAACACACACACACACAATGTAAATTAACACAAATATCCCAAATGCAGGACCCTCCTTAAAGAGTCTTCGGATTTTCCTTGGTGATTTAATCATTACGTCTATTATTAGCGTTATTAAAGTATCATCACCATTCAGAAGCACCCACCACCTTTCCGTCTTCTCACCTGCGCCGCACCCCCAGCAGGTAGTGAAGAACGGCAAAGATGAGTAGAAGGCAGAGGCAGGTCACCGCCAGAGACATTGCAGGGCCACGGGTGCACCTGCACGGAATAAACGACAACAGCAGCCGCAATTCGCCACCAAGTACGATGGGATCACCACGGCGAGGTGCGTGTACGTTGAAGCCGTCACGGAACGGACGTCGCGGGTTGAGCGAGCGAGATGACTGGCAGATACGCAACACCTGGCTTCCCTCCCCCACTCCTCACTCCACTGGAGGCAACGCCACAGTTGGCACGTTTAGCACGGGATGGAAACGCTCACGGATAGAGACGCCCACTCGAGAGAAGCAACGCACACTCCTACACGTGTCTCATACTCCTACACGTGTCTCATACTCCTACACGTGTCTCATACTCCTACACGTGTCTCATACTCCTACACGTGTCTCACACTCCTACACGTGTCTCACACTCCTACACGTGTCTCATACTCCTACACGTGTCTCATACTCCTACACGTGTCTCATACTCCTACACGTGTCTATCACCCTACACGTGTCTCACACTCCTACACGTGTCTCATACTCCTACACGTGTCTATCACCCTACACGTGTCTCATACTCCTACACGTGTCTATCACCCTACACGTGTCTCACACTCCTACACGTGTCTCACACTCCTACACGTGTCTCACACCCTACACGTGTCTCACCCTACACGTGTCTCAAACTCTACACGTGTATCACACTCTACACGTGTATCACACTCTACACGTGTCTCATACTCTTACACGTGTCTCATACTCCTAAACGTGTCTATCACCCTACACGTGTCTCACGCTCCTACACGTGTCTCACACCCTACACGTGTCTACCACCCTACACGTGTCTCATACTCCTACACGTGTCTCATACTCCTACACGTGTCTATCACCCTACACGTGTCTCACACCCTACACGTGTCTACCACCCTACACGTGTCTCATACTCCTACACGTGTCTCATACTCCTACACGTGTCTATCACCCTACACGTGTCTCACACCCTACACGTGTCTACCACCCTACACGTGTCTCATACTCCTACACGTGTCTCATACTCCTACACGTGTCTATCACCCTACACGTGTCTCACACTCCTACACGTGTCTCACACTCTACACGTGTCTCATACTCCTACACGTGTCTCACACCCTACACGTGTCTATCACCCTACACGTGTCTACCACCTTACACGTGTCTCACCACCCTACACGTGTCTCACACTCTACACGTGTCTCACACCCTACACGTGTCTCATGCTCCTACACGTGTCTACCATTCTACACGTGTCTCACACCCTACACGTGTCTCACACCCTACACGTGTCTACCACACTACACGTGTCTCACACCCTACACGTGTCTATCACCCTACACGTGTCTACCACCCTACACGTGTCTCACACCCTACACGTGTCTCATACTCCTACACGTGTCTCACACCCTACACGTGTCTCATGCTCCTACACGTGTCTCACACCCTACACGTGTCTCATGCTCCTACACGTGTCTACCATTCTACACGTGTCTCACACCCTACACGTGTCTACCACCCCTACACGTGTCTCACACCCTACACGTGTCTCACACCCTACACGTGTCTATCACCCTACACGTGTCTACCACTCTACACGTGTCTATCACCCTACACGTGTCTATCACCCTACACGTGTCTATCACCCTACACGTGTCTCATACTCCTACACGTGTCTCACACCCTACACGTGTCTCATACTCCTACACGTGTCTCACACCCTACACGTGTCACACACCCTACACGTGTCTACCACCCTACACGTGTCTCACACCCTACACGTGTCACGTGTCTCACCACTCTCGAAAGTACGGCGCGGGTCTTGACTCTCTGCCCGTTGTCCTCTTCGCTGCTGTGGCGCGCGCAGAGGGAGCGAGCGCAGAGGGCGGCGTCCTCCGGGTGCCGTGTGACTCCACCTCCACCACCCACCAGCACCACCAACCACCACCCACCACCCACCAGCACCTCCTCCTCCTCCTCGCCGCCGCGAGCTGCGTGCAGATGTCGATGTTGCTGCTCCAGGGTCACTGGCACGCAACGCGCTAGGCGAGTGGCACTCTCGCCTAGCGCGTGTCGCTTGCGCGCAGCCCTGCACGCAATGACTTTCGTTGATGGTTACGCCGATAAGACGATTGTTAGCGACAGCGCAATACAGTGAGGGATGAACAAGTTTTTGATCCCCCTGCTGATGTTGTACGTTTGCCCACTGACAAAGAAATGATCAGTCTATAATTTTAATGGTAGGTTTATTTGAACAGTGAGAGACAGAATAACAACAAAAAATCCAGAAAAAAAGCATGTCAAAAATGTTATACATTGATTTGCATTTTAATGAGGGAAATAAATATTTGACCCCTCTGCAAAACATGACTTACGACTTGGTGGCAAAACCCTTGTTGGCAATCACAGAGGTCAGACGTTTCTTGTAGTTGGCCACCAGGTTTGCACACATCTCAGGAGGGATTGTGTCCCACTCCTCTTTGCAGATCTTCTCCAAGTCATTAAGGTTTCGAGGCTGACGTTTGGCATCTCGAACCTTTAGCTCCCTCCACAGATTTTCTATGGGATTAAGGTCTGGAGACTAGCTAGGCCACTCTAGGACCTTAATGTGCTTCTTCTTGAGCCACTCCTTTGTTGCCTTGGCTGTGTGTTTTGGGTCATTGTCATGCTGGAATACCCATCCACGACCCATTTTCAATGCCCTGGCTGAGGGAAGGAGTTTCTCACCCAAGATTTGACAGTACATGGCCCCGTCCATCGTCCCTTTGATGCGGTGAAGTTGTCCTGTCCCCTTAGCAGAAAAACACCCCCAAAGCATAATGTTTCCACCTCCATGTTTGACGGTGGGGATGGTGTTCTTGGGGTCATAGGCAGCATTCCTCCTCCTCCAAACACTGCCAGTTTAGTTTATGCCAAAGAGCTCCATTTTGGTCTCATCTGACCACATCACTTTCACCCAGTTGTCCTCTGAATCATTCAGATGTTCATTAGCAAACTTCAGACGGGCATGTATATGTGCTTTCTTGAGCAGGGGGACCTTGCGGGCGCTGCAGGATTTCAGTCCTTCACGGCGTAGTGTGTTACCAATTGTTTTCTTGGTAACTATGGTCCCAGCTGCCTTGAGATCATTGACAAGATCCTCCCGTGGAGTTCTGGGCTAATTCCTCACCGTTCTCATGATCATTGCAACTCCACGAGGTGAGATCTTGCATGAAGCCCCAGGCCGAGGGAGATTGATAGTTCTTTTGTGTTTCTTCCATTTGCGAATAATCGCACCAACTGTTGTCACCTTCTCACCATGCTGCTTGGCAATGGTCTTGTATCCCATTCCAGCCTTGTGTAGGTCTACAATCTTGTCCCTGACATCCTTGGAGAGCTCTTTGGTCTTGGCCATGTTGGAGAGTTTGAAATCTTATTGATTGATTGATTGCTTCTGTGGACAGGTGTCTTTTATACAGGTCACAAGCTGAGATTAGGAGCACTCCCTTTAAGAGTGTGATCCTAATCTCAGCTCGTTACCTGTATAAAAGACACCTGGGAGCCAGAAATCTTTCTGATTGAGAGGGGGTCAAATACTTATTTCCCTCATTAAAATGCAAATCAATTTATAACATTTTTGACATGCGTTTTTCTGGATTTTTTTGCTGTTGTTCTGTCTCTCACTGTTCAAATAAACCTACCATTAAAATTATAGACTGATCATTTCTTTGTCAGTGGGCAAACGTACAAAATCAGCAGGGGATCAAATACTTTTTTCCCTCACTGTAGGTACGATACCGTACAGCAGTATTGCTTCACAATATACAATATACCTCGACTGTTGAATGCGAGTTGAATTTGTGCAACCTCCAAATTCTACTGGGAAACACCCAATAGCATGCATGTAATGTGTGTATACCGAAGGGCAGAGGTGATGACCCACATCAGTCATCCCATGTGTCCGTTACTGCCGGTCTGTGCTGTCTCTTTGGGAAATTGTCTCGAATTGTTCGCGACACAATTCGTGCTTTTCCGCTCTTATCCTTTGACACACAGAGCGTAGCGTCTGGGTTACAGTACTGTGGAATGTGCCCGGCTGTGCAGGGTAGCACGTTGAACTTCTTTCACACCGCACGTAGCCAACCGTGCTAATCGGAGGTGCGATTACCACGGCTGGCAACGTACGAATACAGGGAACGCGTCTCGTGCCCGATTACTGTTCCTGAAGTCTCTCTCCGGCTTCGTCGTGTTCTGAGTTAGTCCCACTTTGTGAGTTGCGCTGTTAAATTCATCACCCCCCACGTCTATAGCCGGCTGAGTGGCTGCTGGCAAGAGAGTGGTGGTGATCCCCATTCCTAATTCTGGGGGCTGGTGTACATTGATGACCATCACATAAACTATATATATTTTATCTTACCAGGTAAGGCTCACCGAGCTATATAGCTCGTTTTCAGAAGCGACCAGGTCACAAATGATAGCTCAACGGAGTAGCTTATCACGTGGGAATCTATATCAGCCTGATACTGCAAACGCGTGTTTCTAAATGTGGAGGGAAACCCCGGAGGACCCGGAGAAAAATCTACGCGACCACGGGCAGAGAGAGAGAGACACGCAAACTCCAAATATACAGCAGCAGCAGGCGTCAGAGTCGGAATCGAACCCACGACCTCCTGCGTACCAGGCGAGGCAAACAACATCTCCTAGCCACCGTGGCGCCCATATAACACCGCCGTTGACTTCCTGAGAAGTGAGGGGTAATAAAGAAAATGTACAAGGTGACCTTGAGCAATTGATCTCAGAGCGCCATGCATTTCGAGGAGGAAAATGAGCGACAGGTAACCGTGCTTACGGTGGCTTTCAGACAGCATGCATTAATTTTTCGTCTCCCCCCTCCTCTTTTCCGAACATAGATGGACTCGTCCATCTAAACAAACTGTCAAATCTCTCTCCGTGGTGCTAACGGTTAAAAATAAATAAATACAAACCGCCACTTCTTTCAAATGCTCTTGCCGTTGGTTTTCACACCTGATGATGACTGCTTGTGTTGCAGTCGAAACGTCGTGAGAATTTAATTGTTTAATATATTTTATTATTTTATTGTTTCTCTTCAACGTGACTTTACTGAAAGAACCAAGAATAATGTAACCGTGCGTTTGAACTCGGAACCTTCTGATTGCAAGCCTTGCTCGGCGGCTGGATACAGTGTACGTGGTTATGTTTGCAATCATGGGTTGTGGTTATAATTAGGGTACCACTAATTGCATCCCATCTCCACGAACATTCTCTACCCTGAAAATCGCTCCACACTGTTCTATTTGCATTGTAATATAAACAAACAAAAAAATAAGTGGCGGTTATTAGCAGGGCCCAGAGAAACACCAGTGCCCCCAAAAGGACATCTACTCGAAACCTCTCACACACTCTTAAACATGTCTCACGCGTGTGTCTCACAGACAGACTGCACTCATGAATTACAATTGTGCTCTATAATAAAAGTGTTTTTTTATTATTATGGATATTAGTCGTGAAAGCCTACGTGTAATACAATTCTGCTGCTTTGTGCCAGATAATTTCCTGTTTTTTCTCATTTCCTATGAATTTTGTTTAATGGCAAAAATAGTCAAAGATCCCCTATATAGCCTTCAACGGACTGTGGGGGCAAGTGCCACTCACAAGTAGCACATATTCTATCAGCATTGGTCTCCCTCGTGGCGATGTTAACACATCACACATCGGATACTCATTTGAGGCTCAGTCGACCAAGGAAAGACCCAGCCACAAACGGTTCAGATAATCGTCATCGATGTTGACCGTGAGAGGAAATTCAACTTGTGTTGCAACCGCTGCCCACTCTTGATACTTTACCTTTACTTTGTTGTACTGTATATATCGGTAAGGCCCACAGAGATATATATAGTTATTTTTCAGAAGCAACCTGGCCAAAAATGATAGCTCAACGAAGTGGCTTATCACGTGGAAATTCCTAGCAGCCAAATGCTCTAAACACGTGATGTTGATTCTAAATGTGGAGGGGGAAAGAGGGAGGACCCGGAGAAAAATCCACGCGACCACGGGGAGAGAGAGACACGCAAACTCCAAATATACAGCAGCAACAGCAGCAGGCGTCAGAGGCGGGATCGAAGCCACGACCTCCTGAATACCAGGCGAGGTAGTCAACATCTCGCCAGGCTTCAAGCGGGTGAGAGAACAGACACACAGCAATCAATACAGAATTAAACAAAAAATGGTAATCCTCCTTAATCGGAGAAAGGATTCACATCTTGGAAAAAAAAATCACAAACAAATCACCGTGGAATTTCCCCCCCAGCTACCAATTTGTAATATATTTATACGTGCAGTTTACACGATTAAGATTGTTTAGAAAATCTAAAGGATTGATTACAATGCATGCGTCGTACCGAACATCTATGATTCTAGCGACCAGGAAAAAATAACTTTACGCTTAAAAATAAATGTTTTTCAGCAACTAAATGCATTTTGGATGCAGTAGACGAGAAAGGTGAAATAGACCCTGGCCTCTCTTGTGTGCCCTGCAGCAGGGTGACTGCCCAAAACGTCGCTCATTTACTTTCTCTTTTTAATGCAGTGTTATTGATGAGTGTTGAGTTTTTTTTGTTACATGTGATGAGTTCTGTAGATCACAGACATATATAATCAGGTAGAGTAGTTTGAATACATTGCATTAATCTAGAAAACATGTCACAGATTACAGCCAAACGGGAGCTCTAATCAGGAAACGGCTTTGTAAACACTGCATAAATCGTAGAACACCAACACCCGTGGCCTATAAACGAGAAACAATTCCACGTTTGGAAAAAAATGTGAATATCCTCAACGTATGTGACTAAAAGGCCGAGCAAATGATATGAAAATTGGTTATTTCTCCGACTTCTTAATGGAAACCCAGCAATTGCTTGCTGGTGGAGATATCGGTATATTCTTGAGCGTGTTAATTGGGTCCCAAATCAGAATCAGAAAGGGTTTTATTCGCCATGAAAGTTCACACCGACACGGAATTTACTTTGGCAGGATGGTGCATACATTCAACATATAGGAATCTAAAATCTTAAATAAGTTTTAAACA